GTCAGCTTGGCAGTGCTAAATATGAACCAAATTGAGAAACTCCGTTGCGAGACCTGAGATCTTGTGCAACGGTATGTAGATATGTATATAGATTGATGCTTGAGATATTGACACCGGTCATCGGAACCGGAAGGGTAGCTACGGGAGTTCGGAGTTGTGCGTTGAGCTTGTAGATAATAGTCTAATTGAGCTTGAACAAGGAGCTCCATGCGGGGATTGCACCTCGGCTTTTGGGGAAGAGGGCCAATCACTATGAGTTCGGTGCCGAGTGACATTTTGCCGTCGCTGGAGCTACTCGGCTCCGACGATTAGCGATGAATTCCATGGGGTAGTTAATCGCGATGTAAACGGTTTCATTGATGGCGGAGAAGATGCATTCGCATCATCGGCAACCTTGTAGTTTCGCCGCCTATGCGATGGTGAGCTAATCACCAATGGAGAAGCTATAAAGGCCTTTCATATGGTTGGTTGAGAATGCTATATTCAGCAGCCAATGATGCTATGAGTACTAGCTACCTTATCCTGGACCTTGATTCAAATATTAGTATTGGATGCTTGGATTTGGTCGGTACCCAAGAGGCTTAAAGTCACGATATTAGCTGTTAGAAAATGACCAGTCCTTACGGAGTAGTGACCGCAGTCATTTCCGGAGGACTGAGTCTGTGAGATTGCGACAGTGTGATACGTCTCATTCGGGCGCAGCATTGCCGATCAAAAACTTGTTTAGAGCAAACCGGTGACGCTTCAGCCACACTCACCTTTCACGGAAAAGTGAACCGTCCCCAAAAGCTTCTTTCTCAACTTGAACTCACGATAGCATTGTTATCAGTTAGGCTTGTAAATATTCTGTTGTACCATCATTATGTAATAGACTTCTCATGTTGTGTCTCCCCGAAAACTCCAATCGCTAGCTGTATCCCGTTCAAAGTCTTGTCCATGTCAATATCTCGTCTGATTATAGGCTCAACATAGCCACCACCGGCTCGTATTGGTGCTTGGGGGTTGCTCCCATTCCGGATAGCTGGGCTTGTGGTTTGGTCTTGGCTGCTGAGTTTTGCATTCTGAAATAGCTATGGGATTGGAATCCTTGCTCACCATCTCATGCTTCTATTTTTCTGTCGCGATTTGATGCATCGATGGAAGTCTAGAAGCGAACTTCGGAAGAGATCTACTCCAAAGATAGACCTGAAACATGCCGTGACCTGGACTAACCATTCTACCAATCCCAGCAACCAGAATGAAGCGTCTCTGCTCGTGAAGAGACCTTGTCTTGGGCCCAGAAAGAAACATACATATATCAATTTCTCGACCCCAGCTCGCTCCCATTTATAGAACCGCGCCTCAAGTGTGCGAGCCGCTGTGCGCCCTTGACCACACCAGACAGATCAGTCCAGCCAAGGCAAAGATCAACTACTCTTTGGCCTACGGATAAGAGAGGTTCTGCCATACTAAACTAACATATCATAACCGTCCCCGTAGTTACGTGGCCTTGCACGGCACGTAACCGTTTACCCGTTCCCAGGATCATCCATTCATACATAGCCCGTGGCTCCCCAGGATATCCCCGCCCATTCACGGAAGGCTTGAAATCTTATTATAATTACCGATGTCTGCTGTCAAGATATTAAAGTAGGCACCTAACAGGTTATCGATTTCTTACTCACCCTTTCATTCGTTCTATTTCTTTTGTTTTCCTCTCCTATAATCATGCCTCTCCTAAGTTATCTATACTCGTGGGTCAAACCGCGCCAATGCCAACGTGAAGAACGATCTCCTTCTTTCTCGCTTGGCAAGAAGAAGCGCACAAAGTCAGGGCTAGATAAGAACAAAAAGGAAGATTTTCAGCGATCCAACATAATTCGCAAGTCCTTACAAAGTCGCGCCTCTTCACGAGCAACCGTGCGACAGGAAGATGAAAACGACACTGAAGAGGAGGATAGAAACACAAGTCTCAGGACAGATTGGAAAGCATACGAAGCTGATATTCAGCGAAACAAATCAACGCTGATGAGAAAACACCCGGGAGTCGATCGCTCGAGAATACAAACTCACACAGGATCCTCCTCATCCCGACCTCAACCACAATCCTTCTCATCAAGCTCAACCAGCCCCTACTCTCCGCTTTCACCAACGACATCAGCTTCAACAATAAGCCCAGCTTCGCCAGACATAGGAAGAGCATTTTAATACGCCAGGCTTGAAGCATGAAGTATGGACCATGAATCAAAACCATAATCACGACATATACCAATATATCTCTACATAACGATAGACAAAGACTGGAATTATTTATACCATGGGAGCAGCGGCGTCGAGACGACGAGAACGGCCTTTGACGTGTCAAAGGGTATATGAGAATGAAGCCTTGTATATGATAACAATTCCAATCATAATAACGTATTCTTATCTCTTAAGCGCCGATTTCATTTGTGACCTTGACAAACTTTTCCCACTGTCTCCAGGCTTCGCCGCTCTTGAGGGCCCAGCGAGCTCTTCGGATGCCCTCTTTCCAGCGCTGCCCACCAGGGCCGCGCTCGGTGATGACCTTGCCGTCATCCCCCTCGCCCATGTTGCTGGTATCGGACTCGCAGATACCTGATGTGACGAGCAAAGCCGCAGTGTTGAGTAGAACGAACTCAAGAATCGGGTCATCGTCAGGCAACTCATTGTGCAGAATTCGAGACAAGATCTCTGCATTCTCGGAGGGTTCTTTGCCTGAAGACACTGTATCCAGGGGATGGGTGCTCAGACCAAAATCGCTCGGGTGCACGGTGAAATGCTCGACCTCGAGCCTTCCAGTACTGGTCTCATTGACCCTCCAGCATAGAGTGTTGCCAGCGCAGCTAACTTCATCAAGCTCTTCCTCGCCGCAGATGATGAGAGCCTTCTTGAAACCAGCCATGCACAGAGCCTCAGCGAATGCAGGGCCAAGATCCCTTCGGCCGACACCAATTACACGTGCTTCAAGCACATCTTCGACAGGGTTGGCCAAGGGGCCGAGATTGTTGAAAACTGTCCTCCAAGGCAGTTGCTTGCGGATGGGTGCGACGTAGCGCATGCCAGTGTGGAAGACAGGGGCAAACAGAAAAGTGTAGTTAGTCTCAGAGTAAGCCTTGACCAGAGTGTCAGGGCGGACGGCGCTGATGATGGGAGGTTGCGGCTTCATACAAGCGACCAAGTCAGCACTGCCAGACTTTGAGGTGCTGGCTTTGTTACCGTGCTTGGAAACCATGAGCAAAGCTGAGGCCAGGATGGATGAGGTGGTGCTTATGTTGAAGGTATCATGGCCATCGCCTCCAGTTCCAACAATGTCACACTGAGATCATGTTAACAGCTGCTCATTGATCCGGCAGATTTGGTCCGCTTCCTTACCAATCCGCCGTTATAATCTCCCTCCTTTCGCCCTCTTCGTTCGATAACCTCCTTCAGCTCCTCTACAGGAATAGAGGCAGCGGCCTTTCGCATGACACGGGCGCACTCAGCCAAGACATCAGCTCTGAAATCAAGCTTTGTGAAATGCAATGCCATGAGAAGAGAAGCTGTTTGAGCCTCAGTGACCTGATTGGTGAAAAAGTGAGAGATGGCCTCGGCAATTTCCTGAGGAGAGACAGCAGACCCGTTAGGCCAGAGCTTGGTGAGAAGAGGCTTGATATCGACAGGCGAGAGGGCATTTTGCCCACCATCTTGGGATTGAGATGCCATCTTGGTACTTTGCTGGAACGACCAGGAGGCTTGTACAGAGAGCGGTGATGGAGAGAATTGACCAAGCACGGCTGGTAAGTTGAACGGGGTATCGCTCTTCTTTGTTCAATATTGAGATGTTTGTTCTATTGACTCAACTTGTGAATGAGTCGAAAGTACGTACTGCGGAGTGGCCCGTCATCACTTGGTGATTGGCCGACCTCGGACAATGGAAACTCTAGCGCATCGTTGATGGAGGAGGACAAAATAAAGAGACATTTCATGATGGGCCTGATCATGCAACGTCATGAGTTCTAACACAGAGAAATGAATTCTTATCTTGAAGTGCCAAAATACAAACCAAGGCTTGTGCTGGTATTATCAATGACTAGTCTCGGCCATTCTACCAGATGAATTATCTGAAATGACATCTGGAAAAAAGCTTGAAGAAATGACGTCGAAGGGAGAGCTTCAATGGAAATAAGAGTTTAGTGTTCTTAAGGGCCTGGCAAGGAACAGACCCGCTGTGGCTGGAACAATACTCAATTCGAGATGACTAGGTACTACTATGTAGGTACGTTCAGTTGGGACTACGGAGAGATTCGTGGTGAGAAAGATAGGGAATCTTAAATCTGGAAAACGGAAATACATATCCGGAACTCAGAGTCTGCTGTAACTACCATATTTGCGTCGGCCAGACTCATAAAAAAGCATCGACAGCTCGGACTTGGCGCCTAGGACTTTTAAATTGTTGTGAGTTACTACCTACTTAGTATTGGGGGGGGCAAGATACCTCAGTAGCAGGTACATAGTTGAACGAAGAAGGATTAGGGAGTGGGTAATCAAGTCAAACTGGAAGAACAAAATAAGCAGACTCGCCAAAGCTTTATTTGTTCAAGGTTTCTTTGTTGGTAATTTGTAAACTTTCCCCAAGCTTCTGCAGAATCTGTCAGCAACAACAAAGAGATCACGTGCCCATGTATAGTTCTGGGTATCTGCCACCCGTTTATCAGTTGCTTTTATGAACTCTGGCAGTGAATGCTGATCTTATTTGTTTCTTTGCAAACACAGCCTGAACAACTGTCCTAGACATTTTCCTTTATGATTCATTCAGAAGCTGTGTCAGGGAAGGGTATTTAATCAGGCTGCCTGCCCAGACGGTCTGGAGCCTAAACGCCCATCGCAGTCAGAGGTCGCTTAGTCATTCTTATCATACAATCCATTGGACAAAGCGCCCTTCCTCACCTAACTTCGCCGCATCTCATTTTCTGACGAAACATCCTCCTCAACCTAAACGGCAGAACGTGCCGCCTCGGATGATGGCCCCAAACGGCAGCGATGCGCCTGCTTTTGAGGAAGACCTCAGTAACATCCTAGTATGTCCTGAGTGCAACATCAGCCCGCCCCACCTAGTCGAGGAGTTCTCCAGCGGTGATACAGTATGCGAAGACTGTGGCATGGTAGTCGGCTCGCGAATCATTGATACGAGATCAGAATGGCGAACTTTTGCAAATGACGACCAAGGAGGCGACGACCCCAGCCGTGTTGGTGGACCGCAGGATGAGTTTGTCGAAGGCCAGCAACTCGCGACGACGGTAGCCTTTTCCGAAACCAAGGCACACAAGGCTCTGTCCAGGACCCAAAACAACACGAACCAAGACAAGTCGCAGAAGGGCCTCATGCAAGCTTACAAGGAGATTGTTTCCTACTGCGAAGCTATCAACATGGGCACGAACGTTTCCAACGCTGCAAAGCACATCTTCAAGCTCGTGGATAAGCACAAGTTCCTCAAGGGAAAGCCCCAGGATGCGGTCATTGCAGGTTGCATCTTCATCGCGTGCCGGCAGAACAACGTGCCTCGAACCTTCCGTGAAATCTTCAATCTGACTAGCGTGAGCAAGAAGGAAGTCGGTCGAGTTTTCAAGCAACTTCAGAGCTTTCTGCAGAAGCTTCAGGACCAAGACGGCGAAGCCACAGGTCTCAACACAGTCACCAACTATGAGAACACATCAGTGGGTGCCGAGGATCTATGCAGCCGTTATGTCTCTCAGCTTGGCTTCACGAAACAGACCAAAATCTCCAAGATCTCTCGCTCATTGGCATTGCGGGCCAACAGTATTTCGGCGCTCGCAGGACGATCGCCTCTATCCGTTGCCGCAGCATGCATCTACATGGCGTGCCAGATCGTTGGAGAACCGCGCAGCTCACTACCTATAGCCAAGCAGGCGGGTGTCAGCGATGGCACAGTCAAGACTGCGTACAAACACTTGTACTCTGCCCGCGAGAAGCTCATTTCGGAGGAGTGGTTCGAGGGAGGTGCTAACATGGACAAGCTTACACCGGCTACTGCGGTATAGGGGCCGCCCAGATGCTCTCAGAGCTCCATGTGCTATCATGGTCTAGAATGACGTTATTCCGGCATTAAAGGATGTTATAAAGAAACTGCCGCCTTGTATTTTTTTCTCTTATTATTTTCTAAACATAGCGAAGTCCCAGGGTGGGCCGCAAGCAGCGTATTGAATTTACAGAAAGATTGAAACCAAGGAAGTCTGCGAAGAAGTCAGGATGTTCAGCCATGAAACTTTAAAGTAATCTCTTAAGTAGTCTCAGTGTCTCAGTGAAACCCAAGACTTTTTTATTCTCATTTTTGCAAATGCCTTGGCAGCTAGTTGGCATTGCCTCTTCTGAGTGCCGGCATGAGTTGTCGTCAGCTGTGAGAATAGATGGGGCGGGAATGCCGTGAAACCGCGGGAGGGACCTTGAATCCGCTGCTTGTCATTCTTCATCAAGGAAAAAGAAAGAAAAATTGTACTCTAGATCGTTCTTGGAAGGCTAGGATGTGCTACTAATGCAGACCCGCTGTTGATGTTTCTTCGACGGGGCAGATATGTCTCCTCTTCTCTACATGAGGAACAACATACCCGGCCGGGTTTGAACAGGAGTCAGGCCTGATTTTTGCCGTGGGGGGGGGGGGGGGGGGGGGCGCTGTTCGTTCTTTATGTATGATCTGAGGACCCTTTGATAGTAGTCTTGGCATTGTACGGGTTGATGATGATGCAGGTTGCAGGCTGTTTCCCTGTGTGTCACTACGTATGTACGTACATATGGGTATGCAACAGCTGGAGCTGAAGAAAGCACCTGATGTCTCGCTGCCATTTCCGTCTATATGTGTGACGTGAAGAATCAGCCCTTCACAAAGGTTCTAGGTAAGGTAGGTAGCTACCTGTGAACAGACTCGGGTACATAGGTAGTTGATGAGGTGCGTGTCAGCAACATCATGTGAATTATAAGATGGTGTTGCGCCATCGTACTCGAGTGGTGTGAACCAAATCCGGAATTCCAGCAAAAGACAAAGCTGGTGCAAAGACCTGGGCCAGGAGCACTGAATTGAGAAGCGCAGCTAACTCAGAGAAAAAGACCGGATGGATCAAGATGATGCTGGTATGTACAATGCTAATGCGCCGCCGGAATAAAGTGGCATGTGTTGTAAGCCAGGCTAAGGCAGGATGCTGTATTGGTATGGATATGGATATGGATATGGGTGCATGTTTAGAATTGCCTCAGACGGCAAGTCTAATGGGTCTACGGGGCATCGGATGAGGCGCCAGGTTAGGAAGCCCCACAGGTGGAAGAAGAATAGGTTGAGAACAAGAACCCTGCTGTTACTGTCCTGTACAGCATGTGCGGTGCATGTGTGTCTTGCATCTTGTGCAAAGTAACCTTGGCGTTGCAGTGTCGTGTCTGCTTTGGGCTGTGTTTGATAGGTAATAAAATGTGATGACCATGTTTTTATTCTTGGATTTTGACTCTCTTGACTCAGAAGATACATGAAGAGACAACCTATAAGAAAAGAGATGCTGATGGTATATATCACCTACATTGTGCATGTCATGCCACGAGTAAACATAACGATTACCTAGTCTTGTTTGCTACGCACGTCCACTCTAGTTGCATGCCCGCTTAGCTAAAGCCAACAACAACACAACACATCTGTCACGACGCAACGCAACGCAACGTTAATAAAACTATGAACCTAAACCTGCAAGCGTGGATGTAGACTGGATCGGATAGCCGTGGAGTCATCAAGAGGGTATTCATTAGTTATCGAACATCCTTGAGCACACCAAAGTGCCAGTGGCACCCTTGTCGGAGCCGAGTCGACCAGGCTGTCGTTGTCTTGGCTTGAGCAAAAAAGACAGAATTACTAGCTGCATACAGGGTGATTCACTTACCACGATACATACACCAGCGGATACTCAAGGTATTTTCATACATAAGCACCAAAGTATGACCTCGTAATAGGCAAGGCATCTACATATTTCCTGCAGCCATCGTCATTCTCTCGGCTGCTATTCAGGCATTTCCCCTACTGCACATCACATCCGTCCATCCACTACTGTATTTCATCACCACCACCAAATGCACGCACCCACTCACTACAACTCCCACTCACACTGATCCATCATATTCCGTCTGCTTTGCCTGCCCCCATGCTCATGCTCTTCTCCATAGCCGTTGTCTGCCCCATAACAGCATGGGACCGCCCCTCCGCTCCCCCATGTTTAGTGGAAGAGAACCCTGGGCTAATGGCGCAAAACGCAATCACCACTAGGGCCTTGCCGAGGGACGAGGTGCAAAGTTCATCAATTGTTTGCTGCTGCAGAACCCCAAAAAAAAATGCGTGAAATGCAACCATGTCAGACCACGCCCGTACCCTGCTCAGTCAGTGTCCAGGGGTCGTAAGATAGACTGCGATTCGTCTGACGGGCCGATGCACCGTGCTCAGAAGCAGAAGCTCGAGGTTGGAGAAATTGACTAATAATTGTACTGTACTGTAAACAGACAATCCAATGCAAATGGGTTAAGTTAGCCATACGCCCAGTACTACAAGAATGGGACATTCGCTGCTGGGTTCATAGTTTATCTAAATCTCCCTCTCTCACTTTCCTCAGAGGCTGGACCTTGGCTGGCGAGAAAGAAGGACAAGCGTCCTCCCGTATTGTACTCGATGTCTAAGCTAAAGACTCAAGAATCACAAATCATGATGCCCAGCTTTAAACGGCTTCACGGCCGCGCCTTGATTGCTACTGCTCCGGTTTACTGCTCCGGACCAGCTGCTTCGTCGACCATCAAGATGACCCCTTCATCGGCTTCTTGGATAACTTACCTGTGGCGAATCATCCTGAGTGTGTTGGCCCCTTCAACGGCGCTGCTCCAGTTTGGTTCGTGGGCCGCTTCGGTCTTGGGTCCTCCTGTTCACGAGCTGTATCTTCAACCACACTTCTCCGCACTGCAAAAGGCGCCAATACAGACAGGCATTCCCTTTGAAATCTCAACTACCCCTGAGTTCAACTGCTTCAGTCCGAACCTTCCAAATATCACCATCTATGCGACAGGGGGCACCATTGCTGGATCTGCTAGTTCGGCTGACCAAACGACGGGATATCAATCAGCTGCGCTGAGTGTCCAATCCCTCATTGATGCGGTGCCACAGCTTTGCAATGTTGCCAACGTGAGAGGCGTTCAATTCGCCAACACAGACAGTATAGACATGAGTTCAGACATGTTACAGGCGTTGGTGGAGCAAATCCAGGCCGATCTCGACAATCCATCTACACAGGGCGCTGTTGTGACGCACGGAACTGACACTCTGGATGAGTCGGCTTTCTTCCTCGATCTCACGATCCAGAGCGATAAGCCCGTGGTTGTGACGGGTTCTATGCGTCCTGCAACGGCTATAAGCGCTGATGGACCCATGAATTTGCTGTCTTCAGTGACTTTGGCTGCTAATGAGAACGCCAGAGGCAGGGGAGTCATGATTGCCATTAACGACCGCATCGGATCTGCTCGCTTCACGACAAAGGTGAACGCCAACCACCTTGACGCTTTTCAAGCTCCTGATAGCGGCTTATTGGGAACATTTGTCAATATCCAGCCAGTCTTCTTTTACCCGCCATCACGGCCCCTGGGCCACCACCATTTCAAATTACCGCCCCGACCTCCATCAGCAGCAGCACTGCCTCAAGTGGACATACTCTACGCTTACCAGGAGCTCAGTGTTGGCATGTTCAAGGCGGCTGTTGATCTTGGCGCACGAGGCATCGTCCTCGCAGGCCTTGGTGCTGGATTCTGGACTTCCAAGGGCACTGAGGAGATCCGACGCATAGTCCGGGAGACCAAGATCCCCGTGATAGTGAGCCGCCGACCAGAAGGCGGTTTCGTGGGACCCTGCCAGGCAGGAATCGGAGCTGGTTTCCTCAACCCCCAAAAAGCGAGGATCCAGCTCCAACTCGCGCTTGAGACCAAGATGGACAACGACGCCATCCGAGCTCTTTTTGAGCACGCGGGAGTGCACTAAAGGGGCAAAAGATCAAAGGTTCAGACCACAACAGCATGATGATACATACATATTACCAACAGGACCGGTACCTTTTTAGAGGAACTTTCAAAAAGATCACGATCGAATAGGGAAACTCGATACAATTCGGAGGCTTACGCATGCATCAGAAAACGGTTTGGATCTTCAGGGCGCATTTTGTCTTTTTAGCGAATGTCAAAAAATTGGGTGTGGCCATCTGCTTTTTGTTTTGTTTTGTTTTGTTTTGTTCTTGCAAAAGATCATTTTTCGTTTTTTAATCTGGGAGGCATCTTGAATTGGAGTGGCAAAATGGTTGATACAACCAAACGATCATGGAGGGAGGCGGCTATCTGTTTTTTTCGTTGTTCTGCATTGTTGTGCTTATAAAAGTTGATGCGAAGGGGGTGATAAAGCTGGTCCAGCCATCTGTTTTACAGGTGCTTGACATGCAGGAGTATAATTACATTAATCGTATTCAACATATATACTCAAACTACGGAGTACATCTTAACGTGGTTCTCAAAGCAACTTATGAGCAAATGTCTAAAGCCAAGATACTCAAGTTGTGGATTTAATGATCATCCTTGCTGGTAGCTGCACAAGTGACAGCGGAAGAAGCAAAAAAAAAGACATAACCGAAACTGTACGAAAGCAGGCAATGTAGCGGTCCAACAAGGGGGGTCTGGAGAGGGAGCCAGGGCTCACTCGCTGCAACTGAAGATCCTTGGTGTGTGGTTTGACAGGGGGAGTTGGACATGGAGGGTCGTTAAAAGCCCGAGTTGATGCCTCGGGGTTCAGGAAAGATCCGGAAGTATATCCATATCTACTCATTTCGCGAGATTGCATCATATAATTGTGATAAGTGAATGTCAAAAGAAAAATTGGGGGTTGGTGTTTCCCATGATGTACTGTATGGACTTTCCAGGACCGTGAAATGGTGGTAAAGATATAAATAGTAGCAATTTCTCAATCTGTCAAAAGAGCATGTGTGGTTGAGTT